TAGGTAGTATATCTTATTTTATATAGTTCTATATACAAATTTACACATTATATTGTATACCTATAAATAATTATATTTAATTAAAACATTCATATTCTTATAGATTTCAAATTAACTGTAAAATCGTTAAAAAATATTTGTTGGGTGTCACTATACAGAGTGATTAAACATCAGTAAGTCGATAACACGTTTGTTCATATAATCCAAAGTCAATAAAAACAATATTTTTGAAAAACTTATATTATTCACTTTTTTACTATTAAAATATCAGTCTTTACTTTTTTGAATGACAAAATACGCCTTTAATCTCACATTCTGAAGCAGTTTATTTTTTGGTGTAATTTCTAACAAGAATTCAATTTTTATAACTTAAACTTATAACTGTTAAAAGCTTAAATGAGTGGATTGCCGAAGTAGTAGACCAACATTTTGGATATTATTCCTGTATACTTCCACTCAAATACTTTAATACTTAACTAAGTTTTCTATTAAACTCCAAATTATGTAAATTGTAAATGGTATATTTTATAAAACGATAATATTTTCTGGGATAATGAGTGTTTGTTGTTCAAAAATTTTCCCAGAATAGAACATTAGTACCTAATACATTCCATAATTTTTTTAGACTTAAAGTTGAAATTTTACATTTAAATATTATAATACAATATGGCAATATAAGGCTACAACTATACAAGCAATTGTAACAATTAAATTACAATTACAGAATATTTAATATTTTTTTTAGCCATTGAAAATTGAAAAATTCATGTGTTGTACTTTTCACAGATGATATAAGAAAAAAAAATTATTAAATTCATAAATTCATAAAAATTAGTGAATGAAATACATTTTATTAGGTTTAACTAGGTGTTTAAGTACTTTTATCATCCTTGAATATAAAGCGATAGGTACCTAACTAAATCATTTAAGTCAACAATGGAAATACTTAAAACAGAACAGACAAACGCCGCGACCTTAGAATAAGTGTCTCTTCCAAATACATTTATAACTTATTTTATTAATAATATATTTAATCTGCTAATACTCTATTACTACTGTATCAACTATTGAGATAACACTTTAGAAGTTTAAGTATTGATTAGGTACTTTTTATACATGCTGAACTAATTTTAAACAAGATTCTGGATTAGTTTCGTACATACTCTAAATTGGTTGTTAAAATCGAATTCATAGTATTTTTTACACAAGCGCCTACATCAATTTAACAATGTTATGACGTGAGACTTGGAAATCGATTTTCGTCCTTTCATCTCATGCGAGAAACCCGTTATGACGTAGTGATGACCTACACCATTACATCACACATGGGTGCTATTTGTCTAAAGATGAAATTGAGTATTGACGCTCGTTATTTCATACGATATATTTTGTGATAGTTTATGTTGTCATATACTCTTGTTTACTTAATGATAAAACAATAATTTATGTTTCATTTATTCATTTTATTTATAATATAACAGATTATAATTTAAGACAATAATGATGTAATAAAATTAGAAAGTATAATATTAGTTAAAATATATTTTATATAGTTGAATTTATTTTTTAAATTTTTATTCCATAAAATAATATACTATATATTATACATTCATTTTTCTGAAAAAAATAAACTATTTAAAATAAAATATTCATTATTTTAGTTACATGCTATAATAGTTCAAAATATTTCAGAATTGTTGATTCGTAATTTAAAAATTATTAGAAAAATATAAAAAGTATATTATGTTACACCAAACTTCTGAAAAGTGTAAATTATTACAATGTTAACCACTATGATATTAATTTATTAATGTTTTCGCAAGTAATACAATATATTATGATATATGAATATCATTATGTATGATTATGTATTTATCTTTTAAAAAAATTACAGCACGCGTACCAATAAGAATATTTTATCCATCCCTGACAAAAATTATCGATTCAAATACGCTGTTCATTGTTGATTTTGGTGTTGACTTTAGCCTTAGGTATAGGGAGACAATTGAAACTCTATACCGACGACCACCAGAAAATCATAAATACTGCTTATGATTAATTGATAACATGGATAGCATGCAATGAAGATTAATATAATGCTATCGGTATTTTTTTTAAAACTTATATACTAATATTATGGGCCTCATTAAAATTATAGGGGTTCCCGAACTTACTGGTACAGTAGGTACAGAATATTATATATAAAATTATATATAGTTGTTAGCTATTGGTTATATATAAACATTAAACAGAACAATTTACTAAATCTTTCCTATACATCTGCCAGGGGGTAACAGAAACATCTGACAAATTTAAAAAGATGCTACTTGAACATATGACAAAAATTGTGAAAATGATATGGATAGTAAATAATTTAAGAAATATTATGATGTCTGGAAATTATTTTTTAAGATACAATATTAATATGTCACACACCTCAAGTACCTAGATAATAAGTACATACATGAATACCTGATAGCTACCTATTTTTCGTGTCAAATATATATAATATTCCAATAATCAATACTTAGTACAAATTTGAAATAATTAGTTATTCCTCGTGTTTACATTTCCCAATCACTTTTTCCCTCCCTTATATTCCCCTGTTGTAAATTCTCATAGATCACCAAATACACGATGTAAAACGAGTAGTAGATATGCAGCCTATATGGTTTGTTTCGACTGTTGTTACTTAGCAACATAGTATGTAGTAACATATTGTTTGCGATCGTTGCATCAAGGATGTCAAACTACTTTGTTTACTAAAAAGTCTAACTTCTAAAAAAACCATCTTGGCACTTGAATTTCTTTTGAGTTAATTTTTTATACCAACAACCTACCAACATATTACATAATTAGATACAAGATATCCTACATGCACATTTATAATATGCTTTTACTACAATACACTTTATAAGAGCATTGAGTATACGCAGTGAATAATGAGTGATAACTATTAACTAATAAGTAATAACTAATGACAATATACCACATTAACACCGATACGTTGAAAGATGTATATGTATATAGGTACATATATATAATTTATAACTTATAAGTTATAACACTTGTTAACATAAAGTCTCAAACACATGTAAACATGTTATTATACAACGAGGAAAATATATTGATAGTGATACACAGTCAGAGAAGAAAATTTCATTTAATGATGACATAAAAATACATATAATCGATTTTATACAAGTTAAGCACGTTTTTATCCGAAGGTCGAAGGTTTTATATTTGTACATTTTATTGTGAAATTTATTATGATAAAAACGAATAATCTATTTTCATTTATTGAAAATGTTTTTATTGTGTTACGATTAATGATGTACAAATAAGTAATATTTTCCTAGCTAATATTATAATAGATCTAACTTTTCATATTCATGCTAATGCATGCATTTGATGAGTTCGATTAAAACAAAAGCTATCTGTTTATTCTAGTTCCAAAAATAGTAGAATGGAATTTGTAATAAAATAGTTCATTAATATCCTGTCTACTGAACAGTGAATAGTGAACAGTGATACCTTTATAATAACAAATAAAATAAAAACAAATTATAATGTTTGACCTAGGAAATAATTCGACAAAATAACAATATGATACCATCACTAGACAGGTGAATCACTCATGGCCATAGATTGTGTAGGGTTATTAAAAAACAATTACTGCTGTTATTTTTAAAAACGTGAAAAAGAAGCCTGTCTTCCGGGAATTGACTATGCAGCTAAAAGTTACAACCTTTAAAACTTACACAATTAAGTGTGTATATTTTTAAAAGTAATTTACATAATTCGTGTGAAATAATATAATTCCATACCGTTTTTAATACTTTTAAGGTTATTTCGTAAATACAGTTCTAGACAAAATTACAAAAATGATGGCCATATAGAAATACCGAACATATTTGTTAATACAATTAAACATTTAAATAAAAACGAAATAAATTTTAAAAAAAAAAACTTGGTACCTATATTTTCAAATATTTATGAATCCAAGTATCTAGATATTATGCAACTATTTTATTTGTATATTGTATATTGAAATAAGTTCTAAAAATACAGCTGAATACAGCATACATTTTTGTTTGGTTTATAATTTAATGATTCCAACACGAATTTAGAAATATAATAAAATATGTTATATTACTTATTATTACGTAGAGTTTATAATTTATTATAAGTTCAAATACTGACTGTAATTCTTATTATTTTAATAATTTTAGTAACGTTTGAAACAATAATTTACCATATGAATCGATTAATATAAATAGTTAAAATATTTCTTCATAATTAAGTATGTAAAGAAACATAAATTAAAATAACATACAATTTTTCATACCATATTTTTCTACTTAACATGATAAATTAAAATATTATTTCAAATATATTTCATAACTACATTTATACATCGAAAGTTTAGATTCTAAACAATAATAACAGTAACATATCAGTATTATACATATTATGCCAATGTGTCCTATACTATCAAATTAATATCAATAAATGTGATAATTATGCATTGGGTAAAAAACTATTATAATAATATATTATTTATATTAAAAATAAATATATTAGGTAAGTAACTAGTATATGCGCTGGAACCTAAATGTACCATACGTCTGTAGCATATATTATATACCTAATTTTCCTAATTATTAGGTAGTATATAACAGTACAAATTTTAATTTTTAATAATAAATTACATAAATTATTTTCCATATTAGATAGAAAAAAATAATGATTTTAAAATTAACAAACTGTTGTAATAGTTGGAACTCGAATGCAATCAATTTAATTTAGAAAATATTTTTTATTACAGTTTTTATTTTCTTATTTATTTGTTTAATATGAATAAGTAAGTATTATAGCAAACCATAGCCCAAATTTGATCTCCAATTTATAAAGCAACATTTTAAAAAGATGCTAGGTACTAAGTTAAACTTGTGAGGTGTACAGTCTTAAAATTATTTCAAATAATGAAATTTACGTACCTGTGATCAATAGTTTTCAACAAAAAAAATTTCTCCAACAGTATAATATGTTCTTATAAAAATAAAATCAATATTTCTGTTGACATAAACCATATTAAAAACCGAAACAAATCAATTGGGTAGCTGCAAAAAGTTCATTATTTTAAATGATAATTGATAAACAAATAAAAATTACACACGCACTTCAAGACTGTAACCACGCCGTCACCGAACCGAGTACCGACAACCGACTAAATGTCTGATTTGAACTCGTGGTAGTTAGTCTAGAATTCTAGCAGTGTTCCACAATATTCACTAGGTGGGTAACGTAGATTCAAAAGGAAGGGGTACTTAGTTAATCCACCAGTCAATGACACGACATTGTGATCGGATAACAATTATTGGATCTTTATTTGTCTACTATTATAATATGTATATTGGTATTTACTATGATAAATACCTACATATAAATAATAAATAATAATGCATCTAATATTTTTAATAAATGCATTATATTATATATTTTTACAAAAATATTAATGTTAAATCGTATATTATGATGTTTTTGCTCCGTATACCTAATTATATTCTTATATTATAACTATGTAACCATACACTAGGGAAACTATTAATTAAAATTATTTTATTGTTAGTGAATTATTAAGTATGTATACTTTTTTTGTAATGTATACAAATGTACAAATATAACGATGAACTATAAAGTATATTATAGTAATTCAAGTACAACATACCAACAATCAACATATTTAAAAGTATTTAGTATAAATAATAAATAGTAATATATTTTTCACAATTATTAATCGTAGCACATTTGACATATAATATATACCAGGTGATCCATTGAAGTGTCTACACTCATTATTTCGAAATATTTTAACTTTTATATTATTAAATGTAATTTCAAGAGAACATAATATCTGAAAACGACAATATTTTTACTATTCTTTATGGTTATTATTTTTTATTTTTCTTACTTTTTTTAATGACAAAATACATTTTTAATTTATTATTCCGAAACAAAATATTACTTGAAGTATTTAAATATAAATATATAAAAATAAATAAATATAAATACAAAAAGCTCAAATTTTGGACAGGTAGTTAATTAATTATAACTTATAACTTTACATGCATTTACAGTTTTTATGATCAGTAGTAGACAACATATTATACGGAGTACCTCCATGTACAAATCCACTGCTCATCTACACAGTAATGCTTATGAACTAATGAACTACTAGTCAGAAATTTGATATTTATAGATTGAAATACACAGAATAATATTGTGCTTCATAATATGAAATTTAAAATGTATGGTGTTTTTCAAAAAAGTAATAAAATTTAAAAAATTATAACGATAAAAAACAGTAAAAAATATAATTTTTTCAGAAATATTATTTTGAAATTAGATACATCATAAATGTAACAAAAATATTTTGAAATTTTTTTAAATAATGAGTGTCAACAACTTAAACGGATCATCCTCTAAATAGGTATACAACGGGAGCATAGCATATTATACATGATACCTAATAAAATAAAATATAATTCAATATTTTAACTAAAGAATTAGAACTTAGAACTCTTCTAACATAATGAGTATTGAAAAAAAAATAAACATTGCAATTTGTACATATAGCATCGTTATTATATCATAATATTGCTATTCTTGTATTGATTAACTAGTACCTATGGATAAATCAATACTTCAGACTTCCCAATATAGAAATATTAGTAGGCACCATGGTGTACGAGTCATAAGCCCTATGTAAAATTTCAATTCGAATTTTGTAGTAGGTAGTCTATACTCTATGGGCTGTAAATATAAATATTTTAACTATTTAAATAAGTTTTTTCAGAAAGACAACGATATGGAGAAAATATCACTTGACAAATTTGGTTTTAAAATAATTATAGTCATTTAATCTATTTTCTTTAAAGAAATAATCTTAGTAGAACGTTTTACTTATTACTATAGGTTATTATATAAATTGTTTATCATATAATAACGTAACATAATTCAGAAACTATAGGTAATCTGTCTCAAAAGAGAATAATCAGTCGGCCAACCAATTTACGTCAGTGAAGGGCATCATCTCCCATCAGCTCCGCAGTGTTAGAGTGATCACTAAGTTCTCGAATCATTCACAATGCGTAAAAAGTGATAGTTCTCTTTTGAGACATAGTAAAGATCATTCAAGAATATAAATTAATATACTTAACTTAATATAACTTTGTTGATATTGATGATATATATATATTTGTTTTAACTTTAAATATTTTGTTAATCTATTTGCCTATTTAGTTGGGTATTTATTAAACATTTAAACATAAACTCCTATAGTTGACTTACGGTAACACAATATACCATAATACGAATTATTGAATAGCTTTTGGCTTAATAATGATGGTTATCCTTACAAAGAATTTCTATCAATCAAAAGTGGAAGTTGCAACGTAAGTTATACTATAATTATTTTGTTTTGACAATATTTTTTTAGAAAAACATTCTTTTTATTCAGTTAAATCTCAAAATATATTTTAATAATTTTGCAACAAAATAGTTACTCATTTTATCGTTCTATTTTCTAAGAGGAGCAATTTTTCTTTTCCTGACTGTCCATCACCTTTTGTAGCAGTAAAAATACTTTGATTATCTAGGTACCTCGGCATCCTTTCTCGTAGGAAAATTAATGTAATTAGTAATTTCAGAGGTCAAAAATGAAAAATTCTCAGGAATTTTCAAAATCAAAATACAAACAAAGCAAAAATGTTTGAGCAAAACCAGGTTTCAACTAAATTGATTTTGTTCTTTTATAGTAACTTAAAAAGGAATATCTATAAATACTTGAAGTGTTGACAACGTTTTTATATGACCATTTTACATTTTCAAAATATGTTGACTCCATTTGAGGTATTTATAGGCACGTAAAATTGTATTTTTTAATTATTATTGTCGATCAATAATTTTTTACTCAGTCCAACCCGATTTTTCATAAGTTGTAATACATTTATAATAGTATAGTTCAAAAATATTAAAGGTAGATAGGGGGCATGATTTTTTACAAGCATTTGAATGTTAGACAAAATTCGTCAAAATTACAAACATTTATATTATGTATATGGTAGTTCAAAATGTATAAAATATTTAGCTAAGGCTTAAAAATTGAATACATTATACAAGGTCAATCGTAAGTACCTAATTCATGTTTGTACCAAAAAGTCTAAAAATATATAGGAACAAATTGTTTCATAGATATTCTAATATCAAATTTTGACTAATTGACTAAATTATATATTTAAACAAAGAATAACGGTTTTATTTATTTTTGTTGTAATTTAAAAATATTACTCTTGGGTACCTACTAGATACTTTTAAAGTTTATTGTTATTTTTTATCATTGAATTCGGATTTAAGACTTCAATTAAGTTCAGTGAATATTACTGTACATCAGAGTGGTACCTACTTGTCTCCCTTTTTAAGTATAATATTTTTTTCAACTTAATTTCTTAACACTATAGATATATACATATATTTTTTATTTGGTTAATTATTTTTATATATTGTATATTTTTTTTTTACCTGTACCTATATGACAACTACGAAGCTCCTCATGTGATAGGTGCAACTATTGAACTATTGTTTCTTCAATACTTCAACCGTATTAATTATAAAATTGATTTGAAGTTTACCTAAATTAATACAATTAATACGAATTGTAAATTTAAAATGGACAAATGATGTATATTATATGATAACACTGAAAATGTATATAAAAATACGTCAATTCAATTTTTAATTTATCACATCAGTTTTAGTTCTTACTTCTTACTTCTTTGTTAGAACCATATATTATATGTTTATATTAGATACCTATATAGTCCCAACAAATATATGTAACTAAATCCAAAATTAACTTTCTCCCGTGTATCGGTCTTATGATAAATTAATTATTTTTTAACGTATCTATTTAGAAATGAGAAACAAAATTACGCTACCAAACTGGGTCACCCTACATCTACATGACTACATAAACACATAGGTGGATTGTAAGTAATGTTTATCAAACATGACATTATCACAATACTTAGGTGTGTTAGATAAATAGTTTATTTTATGTGGATGGAAGTAAGACGTACTCTGCTGGATATCATTTATGTACTGTACGTATAGCAAAGCGTATTAGGTACTTACAGAAATTGTATTTTATCACCACCAGTCACCCCTGTATTATTGTATTTAAATAGCTACATTGTTTGAATATCGAGTTTTCATTTATAATAACATTTCAGTATTTATTGTATTATTTTATCCTCATGGCGTCTGATCTAAACGAAGAATAAACTCGTATTCACGCATAGCATTAATTTACTTTCAATGCTCATTGTTAAGATTACCTACGTGGCTTGGTGTACCTTTATATAATGTTACTATGTTAGGCATATACGATAGACATATATACTACGTTGTATCGTACCGTCTTTAAAAATTAGAATTCACTTTTGTAACAAAATATCAAATATATAATTAATTAAAAGACCTAAATTGAAAAATATATTTTTACTTCAACTTGGTGTACGGAAATGGTACAAGTATTAATTAGTATTATATTTATTTATATGTATACATAACTGTAATATTAACTATTACCAAAACAATATTATTTTGTGATTTTTACCATGATTTACAGATACACTGTAATAGGTACACAGGTATAAATTTTACAATTACAAAAATAAACATTAGTTATATCAAAATTTTCTTTTTTCATTAATAGGAAATAGACATCAATTTCAAATTCAGATATCCAGTATTATCTCGAGTTCTATAGACCTCAAATACCAAATACAATTACTTATATTAAAATTAAAATATGTTGATGTTATGCCCTTCAGTAGACCTTCGGTCTTAGATATTCATTTCTACAAAACCACTTTTGTCCAATGATTTACTTCAATATACAAGAATATAGTATATTTAATTTGAATAACTTAAATTCTTAATACCTAGGTCCTAGAGTCTATTCTAATGAGTACTTAATGGCTAATGATTAATTAATAGTCATTACTCATTATATTTATTAAATTCATTAAAATACCAAAATAATATTTTAAACTTTAATTAATAAAACTAGACATTATTTAAATGTAGTTTATAGATAGTGAAGATAATCGTTGAAAACAAAAGATAAATAAAAAATAATATTAATTTTAGGTAGGCTATCTATAGGAACTTGTATTTACTATTATGTTTAATTATAGGTACTGCATAGCTTCTTT